GAGTACCATGTAGTGTCATGTATCGCTAAACATACTGGGTAAGGCTTGGTGAGTGTATTTGGTATAAGAGTTCGCGCTAATGTCACATGTCCTCAAAGAGTACTGTACAGAAATGACATACGTACGTAGGCTGGTCTTGTCTGCTGATTTCACACTAGGCCCAGTTGTACCTCCAACGTTTGCTTGCTTCCTAGTTAATATTACCAAGTTTTTTATTATAAAAATATTATATTTCAAAGTTTGATCTATTTCAAAATTGTTATTTGTGTGATAAAACTGAAATTACTTAATAAAAATCCTGTTGTACGTGTCCTGTTATTTCATACTCATGGATAAATTAAAAACCTTTGTTAGGCTCCAGAGCAGAAGTAAATAAATATCGAGTTAGTAACAGTCTTTAAATTATGAATGAAATATTTCATTTACTGTATTTGTATTAGTAAATTGAATTATTTTTACAATATAACATTCTGTGAATGGCTATCTGTTGGGCTAAATTTCAGCTTTTCACAAGTTATTTTACTACTAGTTTGTGTTTACAAATCCAACATGACCTCTGAGACCTAAGTTTTTAGATGCAGATGATGCCAAGGTTTATATTATGAAAAATATAAACAAAAAAAGTGAATTGATTTCTATTTTTTGCCAGATGCCCTACAAGGTTCTAAAGTCGTTGCCTGATGTAAGATATTACCATTCTAGGCCTACATTCATTGCAAAATGTCAACTATTTTTTTCCATCTGATGAGTAATCTTGGAAAAAAAAAAATTTTTTTTTTTGCACCCACTCCTTTTTATCATTTTACAAAAAGAAGGGTAAACAATTTATTTTTTTAGGCCTAATTTTAAAGATTGAAACTAAAGAGGAGGAGAGCAGACAGTAATTATACTGGGTAACTTTCCAATTCGGAATATTTTGATCTGATAATTGTTGTGACAGTAAGAATTTTCTTCTTTTAAATAATAATGTCGATGAAAATCATGTACAAATTATTACGATTTCTACATAAAGATCACGTTTTTATTTACCGTATTATTTGAAGCAGAACCTGCAAAGCGATCCAATACCAATGGAACTATAGAAATCACTACCTTGCCGAATTAAAGTCCAAATAAAATGATGCTTTTTAAGTTGCTGATTATTGAAGTACTACATATGTTTAACAAATGAGTGGTAATAAAATATTTAATTTTTGGTTTATAAATATTAAAAATATTAGTATAAGCCCCGCCCACTGGAGATGTTCACTGAAGTGTGAGTAGAGCTGATGACGTAGACTCGGTATAACCATGGAGGTACAGTATTATTGAGAAGGAGATCACTCGGCGTATTACCCTATAATTCACATTTTTTCGTTAGCAACAACTTGGAAACGACATGCATTTATACGCTTCCAGCAGAGCAGTTGTGCAATAAAGCATTTTATTTTAACCCATTAAATATCTTTATAATGAACAATGTTCCCCAGATTAGATTTTTTCGGACTTTTAGTATGTTATTATTTGTATATTTCAGGAACGGATTCCGTGAAATACTTATGTTAAAATTACTTCTGTGTTCATTATAATTTTGTCTAAAGTTTGATTGGTTCGACTATAAAGGTAAGTCAGCGTAAAACTGAAAAATACTCAGATTTTGGATTGATTTTGCGAATAGTTAACACTCGTTAATCCTAAAATGACTTAGTTTATTATAATCCTCAATCATTTATTAATTAATATCTGTTAAAATTAGAATTAGCGAATTTTGGCTAATTTATGAAAATTGAAGTTGAAATAAACTATACTTTTAAAGGTCATGTAAATGTTCCATTAAATTCGAAACTTTTTTTGGTGGAAAATATTAATATGTTTGATATTTTATGAGAGATAAATGTATCAGCTTCAAAATGGAAACGATTGCGCAGCCATAGTGATTGACTGTATGTATTGCGTATCGAGAAAAGAAGGTGCTCTCCATTTTGCCATATTCAATTTTTTGGTAAACTATGCCTGCTGAAAATTTGATGGCGGGGAACACATCGGACTTCAAAGGCATAACTTGCTTCCTTTTCTATTTAAGAGACCACCTGATTGATTTCATTTTAAAATTTTTCTTTCTGGATGCAGGGTTCCCGGAACGCGGCCCTCAGGGTCAAAAGTGGAACGTGATATTTGGATATGGTTTTGTAGTCAGATTTGCGAGAAAAACTTCAGCTACCCGTATTTCTCGACTGAGAAGTCAGTGAGAGCTGTAATTTGTATGGCAAGGAGATTGTGCAACCCTTCATTCGTATTAAGGGAATTTACGCCCATAAACTTTGTAGTTATTAATATTTTGGTTATAATAGAAAATATTCATTTTTTGGTGACGTCACACTCAAATTAGTTAGTATGCATACATCATAAGCTAGATACATCACATTTTCCTGGTAAGGCAAACTTTCCCGGTGGCGTGCTTTTTTCATGGATAAACAAATACCACTGCTTTGCACATGGATGCCTTGCCCAAGCCAGGGCTACAAGAGCCGCATCGTTAGCATTGTATAATACTTAAACAAGGTACCTCTGCAAATGAATTATTCTTAGTTATTAT